CTCACATCATATGTACCATACGTAAGAGGAGGACCACTTGTACCACCCATAAGAACTTCAGGTCGAGGTTGAGATGGAGAAATGTAGATATCATGACGATGATCCTAAATTAACATCCATGACGAAAAACAAAAAAAAAAAAGGAAACAAAAATTGTAAATTAATAACCAAAAATTTTTAAAAACAAAAGAAACATCATTGAACATTAATATTACCTTATTATAATTAATACCCATGACGAAACGAGGTTGTGATTGAGAAAAATTGACACCAAGACCATGATCCTAAATACAACCAATAGAAACTATGTAAATAAAATATTTGAATAAAAACATGGTCATTATTTAACATTTTCTTAAAAACTTGCACACAAAAAACTATTACCTGATTAGAATTACCACCCATGATGAAACACGATTGTGATTGACCTTGGCAAGTATAAATAGCAGCACCCGACTGCATTGCCAGACAAACCAATTAAAGATAACAAGAATTAAATGCCAAGCAACCTAACTTGGGAAGTGTAAACAGTAATGAGGTTGTGATTCACCCATGAATAAAATTACCACCCATGATTCACCCATTAAATACTTGAATAGAATTACCACCCATGTCGAAATGAGGTTGTGATTCACCTTGGGAAGTGTAAATAGTACCACCCGACTACATTGCGAAGCACACCAATTACAAATAACAACAATTAATCATATAATGAATGGACTTAATGAAATGAATTCATAAAACTAACCATATAAATACGACATTAATATTGCATAATACCTGAATATAATTATCACCCATGACGAAATGAGGTTGTGATTCACCTTGGGAAGTGTAAACAGTACCACCCGACTACATTGCGAAGCAAACCAATTACACATAACAACAATTAACCATATAATAAACGAACTTAATGAAATAAACTCATCAAACTAACCATATAAAGACCACATTACTATTAAATATTACCTTAATAGAATTATTACCCATGCGGAAATGAGGCTGAGATTCACATTGGGGAGTATAATCAGCGCCACCCTACATACAACGAAAAACCTTAATGAAAGTGGGTCATTACTAAATAAAATCAATGTTTTAGTTTACTAATCTACTGTATTTTAATCTTATGCAATTTGTTATGTCCAAACGTGAATAGATTGCATCCTTTTCTTCTTTGCAATAGCTTTTTCCATCCCGCCTTTGATCCTCCTTCTTCCCTTACTAGTTGACTATCTTTTCTTCAGTCCCTTAGCTTGGATTGGACAATCTACTTCATCACTCTCTGGGCATGCGTTGCTTGACGAATTTCTCAAATCAGTTACCTCCACTTGACCACAAATGTGGAGACTTAATTTGTCTTCAACCATTACACTCAATTCTTCACCTTTTGAAACTAACAACTGATAAGTTTCTTCACTTTCAGCGGCTCTACTCGCTATTGCTCTAAACATGGTCATTAATGACCGATATCGGTCACTTTGATGTAATTTGACATCAGCCTTCACTTCATACCCACGTCTATCTTTCACTCGTTCAGCCCTTGTTTTTTTAGTCCATCGTTTGAGTATATACTATGGAGGAAGTTTCGTTGCATTCAATATATCTCTAAGCACCTTGACACAATGTCGACATAATATGCCCTTCACTTCAAACTTCTTGCAACTACAACTCAAACAACCCCCTCTATCCATTGTCATAATCTTATCTTTTTTCCCATCTACCATTGTTCTTATTGTGAATACGGTGCTCTCACCATCATTAGTAGTGCCTATAATGGATGCTTCAATGGACTGCACATACTCATTTTGGAATTCCTCAAAAATTGTTTTCGTGTAAGTCTCTGCCACTTGCTTTAACATCAAAGTTGGAATTAAAACCCTCGGCAATTTTTGGGACAAATTATACTCAGCTTCTAATTCCTTATACCTCTTCTCATAAAGCACCCTCTCAAGATGCTTGAAGAACTCCATCAAGTTATGGTCACAATTCAGATAATCCTTTAGAAATGCATTAAAGGATTCACTAAGTTGGGTAGTACTCATTCCAGCTGCCCAAGAATTCATAATATATGGCCATCCCCATTTCTCCTTCACACGAAAAGTCTGCTCCAACCAATGATTGTCGAATGCATCATACTTATCAAGCATTTGGTCTCACTGTATTCGGAATTCTTCTTCATCATCAATGTCATGCATAAATTTTGAAAACACAGCCTTCACCCCTACATCATCGAAAACAGGACTTACATGCTTGACAGCATTTTGCATCAAATGCCACATACAAAGACGATGGTTTGTATCGGGCATGACAATTGGAATGGCCTTAGCCATTGCAGCATCTTAATCTGTGAAAATAGTTTTCGGAGCTTTGTTTGACATTGCCTCCAAAAAAATTTGAAACAACCATGTAAAAGATTCAGCAGCCTCATCATACATCAATGCTGCACCGAATATAACTGTTTCTCGATAATGATTAAATCCAACAAATGATCCAAAAGGTCTATGCTCGTTATTTAGTTTGTAAGTAGTGTCAAATGTCACTACATCACCAAACTGAGCATAGTCCATGATCATTTGAGCATTAGCCCAAAAATATATTACTTATCTACTCATCACAATCTAATTGGACTGCATAAAAAAAAGATGGATTTTCCACAGTTTTCTTACGAAAGTAATGCAACACACTACCCGCTTCGCCATATTCCAAATCTTTTTGTCTCTTCGATCTTAGGTAATTTTTTTGGTCCAATTTGGTGAAACCAAGTGATGCTCTTCCACCAGATTCCCTACCAAATAGTTCATAAGCAGACCTAAGAGGAATTCCAGATTGTGAAGCTAATTCTACTTCAATTGCTTGGGTGGTAGATATTTTTCTTTGGGATGGCAAGATATGAATGCAATCTTGAGGCACAAGATCATGATTATGATGTTCAACAAAATCACAAGCAATATATTTTCCTGATATTCTATCTAACTTGATACTAAATCGCGCACCACAACCACATCTTACCTCTTGTCTTGGATTTTTGACAAGTGGATCTCGTTTGTCAATACCCCGACTTCCCTCTTTGTAACATACAAACGTACGTGATGTTATCTCCTTCGTTTGTCTATTCTTGTTTGCATAGGCCTTCCTAATACTAAAGCCCACCTTTCCCCCATACGTATTGTAAAAGTGATATGCGGCTTGTTTAGAGTCAAATGGCATTCCCACTTTCGGCTTCCAACCACAATCATCAACAATATTATTTTCTTCCATTACCTACAATTCATATATATAAACCACATTTATACTTAATTACAGGTTCATATATATAAACCACATTCATATATATAAATCACATTTACCTACAATTCATATATATAAACCATATAATGGAGGCAAATTATATGCCAAAATTAAATTTATGAATCTGAAAATAGATCAATGTGATTAACTATATATATAGAACATAAAATTTCATATGAAAAAATTTGACTTACTTCACTGACTGAACCCATTTCATATGAAAAAATTTGAATTAATTAATTTCAAAAATCTGAATTTGAATTAACAGATTAAAATCTGAATCAAATATATTCAAATCAAATTTGAATTAACATGGGTTAATCTAAATCAAATTTGAATTAAAATCTGAATCGAATTTGAATTAATCTGAATCAAATTTGAATTCATTTGAATAAAAAATATTAAAATCTGAATTTGCATTAACAGATTAAACCTAGGCAACAGATTAAAATATGAAATGGGTTAATAAACCATCTATACATATATACATATATATCATAACAAATTTGAAACAAACAATAACAACCATATATGCATATATACATATATACATATATATCTATGAATCCCCAACAGATTAAGACTTTAATTTGTGAATCAATAACAACCATCTATGAATCAATCTGAAATGGGTTAAAATCTGAAACAAATCTATACATACATATATATATATATATATATATCTATATATATATATATATAACAGCAAGATGATGAAATACACCTCGCTGTCGGCGCAATGTGGCCTTCCCGCCATCGCATCACCGCCAGACTCACCATCGCGCTGCTCCTTCATCTCTTTCGCGTCAGTGCCTCACTCCGCCTTTTCAATCGCCTCTCACGATGCCTCTATCTCTCTGCTAGGGTTCACTGACTCAGATAGATGGTGCAAAGGCGAAGAAGACGATACAGAGAAAGAGAAAAAGGGGGAAGGACGACTCAGAGAAAGAGAAAATAGGGGAAACACGACTCAGAGAAAGAGAAAATGAGAGAAACAAGGGAAATCTATTTTTTGAATTAAAAAAAAAACGTTTAATACAAAACAACGTCGCTTTGTATAGCATTGCAAGAACCACCGCAGAAATGTATGGCAGAAGATTCGGACTCGACCTCCACCAGCCTCACTATTTTTTGATTGGTCCATATATTTTTATGAGTAATGGTACAGAGCCCGAATATAGGGGCTCGAATTTGGCTCGAAATTAAGGGGAAGAAGGAGGAGGAGGACTGGACTGGAGGGGCCAACAAAATCGGGCGGAGGCTCGAATTTGGCTCGAAATTAGGGGAAAGAAGGAGGAGGAGGAGGAAGAGGAGGACTGGACTGGAGGGGCCAACAAAATCGGGCGGAGGTGGAGGTGGAGGTGGAGGTGGAGGTAGAGGCGGAGGCGGAGGAGGGCGGAGGCAGAGGTGGAGGCGAGGCTGCGATGCCGACGAGCGACGAGGGACGAGCGACGAGCTGCGAGATCGGCCGACGAGCTAGGACACCGACGAGCTGCGACAACGCCGACCTGCGTTCTCTCTCTCGCCTCTGTGTTCTCTCTCTCGCCTCTGTTGAACTCAACGAAGAAGAAGAAAGAAAAGGAAGAAAAGAAAAGGAAGAAGAAAAAAAAAAAAATCAAAACTCAAAACGACGTCGTTTTGGGTTTTGAGCGAAATTCGGACCTCTATTTTCGGCCATAAAACATTATTCTATTTTTATTTTTTAAATTACAGTCCTTTTACGTACATAATAGTACACGTAGAGAGAGAGAGAAACCCTAGGAAGGTCGACAATGGCGAGTTTGGAGGACATTCCTTCAGTAGATCTCATGACCGAGCTCTTGCGTCGCATGAAGTGTTCTACCAAACCAGACAAACGCCTCATTCTCGTCGGTAATCATTTCTTCTCTCTCTCTCTCTCTATGTATATATATATATGCTTGTATTTATGTAGACATACATATATCTCAATTATTTATTTATTTATTTATTTTTTGAGTTTGAAATTCCATTACACAAGTTTAGATCAGAAATTTTACTGTTTTTTTGAAATTGGGGTTTGTACTATCATGTTTATGGATTCCTTTGCTAATTCTGTTATGGAATTGAGTGTTGGGGTTGGTGTTGTGTGCTAATCAGTGGCAGATCAGGGAATTCTGCCTTTGTCAATGAAGTCCTTGCATTTGTTCCAGCAAAAGGGTACTTCAGGGCTGTGTTTGGATCATGTGTTTGGATAGAGATTTGGAAAGGGACAAAGATAGGTGAAATTTGAATAAAATATAACTGCATTTCACCTACTTTATCCTCTCTCTTTCCAAATCTCTACCCAAATCTATGATTTAAACACTGCCAAAACTTTTTTCCTAATTCCTTGAAAATAGATTTATGGCTACAATTTTCAGTTAAAATTACAATTTTATTTTTATTTTTATTTTCATAATTGTTATCTTAGATATTAGTTTTTAAGTAGTTCAAAATATTTGAAATGTCAAAAAATTATTGAGGTATAAAAAGATAATTTACTTAGATATTGACCAAAATTTTAGATGATTCAAATTATTAGACTGGGTTTTTAGTTTAATTTGTTATGAAAATATGTAATCTTCACTTTAAGAATTTCTTGAATAGGATATGGTCATTACTAGGCACTTTTTTCCTTTTGTGTTTCCCCCCTAGTTTGTCGGGTGCGGGTGCGGGTGTGGGTGTGGGTGCGGGTGCGGGGTGGGAGTGGGGGAGAAAGGGTTAATTAAATTAATGATCAAAACATTTAATATTTGATGTATTTTCTATTACCTAAACCATATTATTCTTTTTGGTTTGTTTGTTTCAGCAATATTTGTTAATAACTATATGGCTCACTCTGTACAAAACTGTATTGGTTGTATGTTGGGCTGCCCACTTTGCTGCTGCCACTCCACTACTATATAGTTATTAGCATGCCTACTGAATTATGATTCAACTTATATTGGGGATCTTCAATTTTGTGACTTTTGAGTTTAGAGAAAGAAATCTCATCTTTGTTTTTTTATTTATTTTGGTTGGGAGGGTTTGATTTTTTATTTGGTATGGAATCCTTCCTTCTATATTATGATTTATGAGCAAAAAAAAAAAGAAAAAGAAATCCCTTTTTTTTGTGAATATTTTTTGGAACTATGGAATGAGTTTTATTTTGTTTTGAAGGAACATTCGGAGCAACAGTACTATTTAGTGGCACCCTATTGTTTGTGAATTATTCCCAGATTTAAGTGATAAAATTTATTTTAAAGAGGATTGTACTGTAATAATCTGGAAAACCGTACACCAGTTTGTTTCTTTCAACCCAAAAGAAACTCAAATATATAACAATTGGTGCAGTTTTTCACATTTTAAAGTTGAAGGCCTTGTTTGGTTTGTATTTGAGAAACATGTTTTGTGATAAAAAGTACGAAAATTTGTTTGGTTTGACTTTTTTTCAAAAGATGTTTTGAAAAATTATTTTGAGAGAGAGTTTTGGAAAAAGTGATTGATTTGATGTGTATGAGAGAGAGATTTGTTTGGAAAATTTGTAAACCAAACAAGTTTTGAAAAATTTTTTTAGAAAAATTTGTTTGGTTTGATTACTTATGAAAACTTATTTGTAGAGAATTTTTCCCAAATTTTTTTGAAAAACACAAACCAAACAAGGCCGAAGTGTCTCGAAGCTGCCTGGGAATCCCTGATTGCATATATTCTGTTCACCTGATTATTGTGGTGTTCATTTTCGTTAAAGTTTAAATTTGACAGGCCCACCTGGATCTGGAAAAGGTACCCAATCACCAATTATTAAGGATGAGTACTGCTTATGCCACTTGGCTACTGGTGATATGCTAAGGGCTGCTGTTGCTGCTAAAACTCCTCTTGGGATTATGGCCAAAGAGGCTATGGACAAGGTAAGTTTCATGTTCCGTGGTCGCATAAATTTGTAATACAGCTACCTTGAATTCTTCTTAGCCTATATTGTTTTTCTAATTTTTGTTCAGGGAGAACTTGTTTCCGATGACTTAGTTGTTGGGATAATCGATGAAGCTTTGAAAAAGCCTTCGTGTCAAAAGGGTTTCATCCTTGATGGATTTCCAAGGACTGTGGTCCAAGCACAGAAGGTCTTGCCTTAGTTTGAGATATGGATATTGGATTAATTTCTTTGATTGCCATATTTTTTCTTTTCTCATTATGTTTTCATACTTGTGTGTTCCAAACCATGCCTTTGTTTTCATTCTATGCAGCTTGATGAGATGCTTGAAAAACATGGGGCTAAGGTTGATAAGGTCCTCAACTTTGCAATTGATGATGCAATCTTGGAGGAGAGGATTACTGGTCGCTGGATCCACCCTTCGAGTGGTCGGTCCTACCACACAAAATTTGCACCTCCTAAAGTTCCTGGTGTAGATGATGTAAGACTGAATGTTCGCCATTTCTCTGTTTGTTCATGATATATTTATGGCACTTTAGCTCGGCACCATATACAATCTTCCAAATACATGTATATTTATTTCACTTAACATATTGGGGTGACCATTGGTTCAATGGTACGATCTTGGCCTAATAACCTTGAGGTTATGGGTTCAAGTCTCAGGGCAGCCACTTTGTGTACTATGCCAAAGGTTAGGTGTGTACCAATCTTTCCCCTCCCAAACACACATTAATGTGTACTATTTGGGCGTTGTTTTTTTTTTTTTTATTGGAGTTTTGCCTCTCTTTTACTGCCCCTGGCTGGTTTAATCCGCAATTCTTCCTGATTTTCTGAACAAACTGCACCATTTGTTATCAAAATCTTACGATTTGCGATTCGATTCACTATTCGATTTGCATTTTTTGGAAAATCGATACGAATCTATGGGTGAATCTATTTTGAAGTGAATCGCTACTAAATCGCATGATTCACTATTGATTCACAAATCGATTTACTTTTTACGACTTATGCAATTCTTAAAACTATCATGACTGAAATATTTTGATTCATTTTTTCGCTGACATAATACAACTTCTAATAATGTTTAGTACAAAAATAACCAACATCTATACATGATTTGTTGTTATTTCGGAAATCAGGAGTTTTCAATAGGATCAAATCAAATTCAGTCATACCTAATATGTTTTTAACCCTTCTTATTTTTTTTTCCTTAAAAGAAATTATGATGCATGATGCATCTTTTAAAGATGTTCAAGGTTAAAGTAACTTGCAATGTAAATTATCTATTGTTATTTTATTGAAATAAATACATTTCAATATTCCATGGGTGGGGTAATATTGAAGTAGAAAATAAGGATGTATGCTTATTATGAAATATCAATATCGGTGATAAGTTATTGTTACTTAAAAATTGAGAGTTTGTCTTTGTTTATTTTCTTTATTAAGAATGGTTGATGAGCAATATCAAAAAAAAGAAAAATGTATGATGGTGATCTTACATAGGAACCTGTGTTAACTTTTTACCTTTTAGACCATGTAATCATCATTCAAAACACTATTTCATTGATTTAAGTCTAAATATTTTATATTTATAAGATATATTTAACATCCAAGCATATAGATAAATTTTTTGAAGTAATTTAAAAAAAGTGACCGAATCTTTACGATTCATGATTCGATTTGATTCGCAATTCGGTACAAGACCATTTCGATTCACGATTTGACAACTATGGCTGCACCTTTGTTTCATGTTTTGTCAAGTGGTCGATGATTTTATTGTAATGGACTTTCCTTTTTCTTTTTTACTTTTTGAAGGTCACGGGAGAACCTTTGATTCAACGGAAAGATGATAATGCAGCTGTTCTCAAATCAAGGTTGGAAGCATTTCATAAACAAACCGAACCGGTATGTTTTCTTTTGTCAGTTCATTTCTGCTGATTATGAATTGGATCTTGTAATTGCTTTGTTGGATAAAAGAATAGAAGATAATTTTTTAGTGTAAATGTCCGTGAATGTTATATATCGATATAAATACACATATTTATACAAGAGTTTTTTTTTTTTTATATTATTTGAAGTACCTGATGAGGAAGTCCATCTTGAAGTTTTTCTCCTTGTCTAATGTGAAAGGTTATAAAGTTGCAGCATGGGATTTTTATTTTTTATTTTATTTTATTTATTTTTTGATTTTTAATGCCCAATTATCTTCTATAACATTTGAAAACGACATTGTGTGGAGAGCTGTATAGTTCAACATGGTGGAAGATAGTTTTTGTTGTTTGGCTTTTTAATTTTCCACATGGGCTACCTTTCAGGGCCCACATTTTAGTAGTCTAGTAGTCGCTATGACTGCTCATTGTCTTTTATTTCCACCTATTATAGTTTGCCATATATCTAGTGTTTTATTGGTTATATGATTTCAAGTAATGTGGAAATGGAGCAGGAAAGAGAACATGACATGCCACATTCAGGTTTGTGATATGTAAGGGTTAAATATAAAGATCACATGATTGGTGTGTGTTAAGGTAGATCTAAATGCAATTAGGGTTACTTTCACTTTTGAAAACAACCTATTGAACTGTGTAAAGTAATGTACCATTGGCCTATTTTTCAATTATGGTCAGTTCTATTATATCTTTTGGTATTGCATTTTGGCCTGTGGATGTATTACTCTATTTCTTGGAACAAGCCATTGGATCATAACATGGTTTTATGTTTCAGTATCTTAAAATTGATATTATAACGTATGCGATGTTCACCTCTTTATATTGGCCGATTTTATGATATTATTATTCTTTGGATAATATGATGGCCTTTGAGTGGCATCCATTAGAATTTAGAGCTACTAAGGATAAGTTATGGAGGACCTTTTAGGCTTCTTGGAAATTAAGTCGGTGGCTCTTTTGGCCCTTTGCCATTAGGGGTGGCATAGGAGAGTTGGGGCACAGAGGATGGAATTAGAAATAACCTAGGCAAGGCAGGTTTCCGGACTGGGCTGCTGTAAAATATTTGAATGATACTAGTGGCATGCAAAACCACTTTAAAATAATAAATTGTTATAACCCATCAAAAATGCGTCTATTGGTACGTACATAGCAGTGTGCTAAAATAGGATGGTGGGTAACCTTCAAATAGACGCGCAAGTCCTCCATACTCGGACAGTTCAAGTGCACTGAGCACAATTTGTACTCTATTCCGGCTAGGGTGTCCCGTTCCCAGAACAATAGATATTTATATTGAAGACCCATTTGATTTGTGCTGGGATGAATAAACTTGAACATGATATAAGCAAGCAATTGTAGATTGCAGCCCTGACATCAATAAGGAGATACTTCACATTAAATACACAAATGCCAGATTCGTTTGTGTCGTCGTTTATGCCGAGTGAAAGGCAACTATGAAATTTCAAATGATGGGTTATATTGAGGCCATCTGATTGCACTTAACTATAGCTATATGAATGTCCCTCTCTTGGCTATACTCGCTGAATGATGGGTCAACCTGTATCATATGCTAACCTCCTTGCGCTTGTTTTTTGCTTTCCTGGTTGGGTTTTTCCTAGTTGGCTACTTGTTATTGGTGTTTTATTCATGATACCTTTATGGAGTTGGATCTTTGAGCTCCTGTTCCACATTATATCCAAGTCTGCCATTGATTTTGTAACCAATATTCTGAAATTTTGGGATGCAGGTAATTGATTACTATACCAAGAAGAGTATTGTTGCAAATCTTCATGCAGAGAAACCCCCAAAGGATGTCACTGCTGAGGTTCAGAAGGTGCTCTCATGAAAAGACAATTTTATTAACTTGAAAGTGGATTAAACATTTGAGATTTGAAAGATTTTTCACTCATGTATTTTTCCTATATTGTTAGATCACTGACCCACAGGCGTTTCATTTTGCTTTACTCAACTGTATGCACCGGCTTTTGTCAGCCCTTGAATTTGATTTGAGTTATGAAATAAAAGTTTTACGGATGTTAGTGAGTTTTTTTTTTTTTTGAAAATGGATTCAGCTGCAGAATTTGGGATGAGTTTCTGTATAGTGGTCCCCTTTCACCATGTATGCACTATTCAATATTTCAAGGTGTAAATGATTGGGAGATATGATTTGACAGTAAACATTATCATCGCCACAGAAAATTATCCTGCCCTCCTGGGCAATGTACCAACGATTTCCGGAGTACCACGATCAGTCACAACAGCATAATTTCAAGGTGTGTAATTACAAAAATGGTAAGGTCATTGCACTTTCTTAGGTACTCGATACACGCAAGTGGGTCTTGGATCATCTATTCAATTCATTAGTGAATTTCGTGCGAGTCCCACCACTTGTTTCTAGTTAGAAAAATATGATTAGAAAAAGGTAAAAGTTTCAACGTTACTCAGTCGTATGGTTTATCCCATCAGCAATGATGAATTGTGCCAGTTGGTTGACATTTTCATTGAAGCAATCAGCCGGCTGAACAACCAACATAAGCTTCAGGAAGGCTATTGTAAAAGAACCACATTGTTATATTTTGAAATTGTGTTTAGATCTTAAATTTACAGAAAATGTTATGAACAGTAAAAGGGAAAAAGGCAAAAGAGTTTTTAAAAACATATAATTTATGGTCCATTTCTCTTTTTCCTCTTCAAATCAATGATTCAAACACAGCCTACACAGATTTATATCCCAAATGGTATTACAAGTTTACGTCCATGATTTTTATTGGAAAAAAGGTCAATCGATACAATATTCGTTATCAAGCTCTTCTTCACACACATGGTCTAGTTCCAACAGAAGATAATTGCTTCCACGGGCTCTAACGATATAGATGAACACCAAAAAACCAAGAAAAACCCACTTCAGAAGGACTTTCAGAGAATTAACTTTCAGTAGCATTATCCAAACACAGCCACTGCACCAAAGGTTCACCAATAGGACACTATTCCACCACCTGCACATATTTAAAGTTGGTTCATATCTGAAAATCCGCCCAGTAATGAAACAGCTCAAGATCAATCAATATCTATTTGACTTATTAGATGTAATTCTACTAGATTGCACCAAGTTCAACACAATTCAAACAGACAAATAGCTCTCCAAGCACTGGTAGTCAACCCAGGAACCAAGTATGTTGTCAGAAATATACTTCAGCGGCTTTGATTGTAATCTAGATGCCCAAGGATTTGACGGTACAAAGCACTAGCACTCTCAAGGAAATGAGACACGGAGACCTAAATGTCCACTGTGATCTTGGCATCAAGATGAGAGAACTCTTGGAAGAAGGCCTTGAAATGCTCGTAGGAATGTTTAACGTATCAGCAATGGTGAATTGTGCCAGTTGGTTGACATTTTCATTGAAGCAATCAGCCGGCCGAACAACCAACATAAGCTTCAGGAAGGCTATTGTAAAAGAACCACATTGTTATATTTTATTGTGTTTAGATCTTAAATTTACAGAAAATGTTATAAACAGTAAAAGGGAAAAAGGCAAAAGAGTTTTTAAAAACATATACTTTATGCTCCATTTCTGTTTTTCCTCTTCAAATCAATGATTCAAACACAGCCTACACAAATTTATATCCCAAATGGTATTACAAGTTTACGTCCATGATTTTTATTGGAAAAAAGGTCAATTGATACAATATTCGTTATCAAGCTTTTCTTCACACACATGGTCTAGTTCCAACAGAAGATAATTGCTTCCACGGGCTCTAACAATATAGATGAACACCAAAAAACCAAGAAAAACCCACTTCAGAAGGACTTTCAGAGAATTAACTTTCAGTAGCATTATCCAAACACAGCCACTGCACCAAAGGTTCACCAATAGGACACTATTCCACCACCTGCACATATTTAAAGTTGGTTCATATCTGAAAATCCGCCCAGTAATGAAACAGCTCAAGATCAATCAATATCTATTTGACTTATTAGATGTAATTCTACTAGATTGCACCAAGTTCAACACAATTCAAACAGACAAATAGCTCTCCAAGCACTGGTAGTCAACCCAGGAACCAAGTATGTTGTCAGAAATATACTTCAGCGGCTTTGATTGTAATCTAGATGCCCAAGGATTTGACGGTACAAAGCACTAGCACTCTCAAGGAAATGAGACACGGAGACCTAAATGTCCACTGTGATCTTGGCATCAAGATGAGAGAACTCTTGGAAGAAGGCCTTGAAATGCTCGTAGGAATGTTTAACGTCATCAACTGCACACATCTCTCTTATGCTGTGCATTGATAATTGAGGGGCCCCAACGTCAACTGTTCGAATCCCTGTACCACTCGCCAGAATTGGACCGATGGTTGAACCACAAGCCATGTCATTGCGAACCACAAAATCCTGCAATAAAAAAGACTGCTTAAAGTTCTGTGTATTCCAAACATCATTACTCTCATTTTTGTGCCTTCGCTTCAATCCCTCATTAAGATGACAATGACATGAATAAGTAATCAAAACTATCAGATATTCAAAAATAAAGAATGGCCATTTGAAGTATTTTTGTTCAACAGAGAACTAGAAGCAAGTTTATCCATATTAAGGAACAATATCATCCCAGTGAAATCTCAAAATGCAACAAATAAAATGAAATCTAAGAAACTACTTGTGTCTGACACCCTGTCCGATATGACACGACACTTGTTGAACACTTCTCAACAACTATCAGACACCACACACGTTTAAACATGTCCTTTTAAAACAAATTCTAAACTCAAACATGCTCCAGACACTTAGGAAACATGTGTCTATTGCTTAGACACGTGTGAAAAGCATTACAAGTTTAAATAAAATAACTTATAATCCAACAATAAAATAAAAACAACGTATATCTCTACATATTCTTCTCCTTTAAACTTGGAATATTATCTTTCAATTAAATATCTATATAAATGACATAATAATTATTTATCCTTATTTATGCCATAATAAATATATCAAACTATTTATTGTGTGCATGCCTCACGTGTAGTGTCCTGTATTTTTTGAAAATTTCTATGTCATGTCATGTCACGTCACGTCTCCATGCTTATGCTTCTTAGAATATCACACGATGCTCTGAAATTTTCACAACCAAGATTTTAAAATCTGACCTGGACGGGAAGGTTATGCTGGATTGCAATCTCCCTAAATATGAAGGAAGTGATGGCATTGGTTGCATAGCGCTGATTTGCATTGTGTTTGATTACAAGCCCACCATGCAACTTGGGCTGATGATTATCTTCATGTTTATCCTGAGAAAAAACACCATATCACCGCATTTATTGTAACCAAACCAAACTGCATTTATTGTATGAACAAAAAATACTACGTTCACATATAAATTCAGCATACAAGAAAAACATACCATATAATTAGGATGCAAAGCATGCGCCATGTCAGCAGATACAAGGAAACTCTTCTGGATTGCCTTCTCCAGCAACTGAATGGTAATTAACACAACACAGAAATAATGAGTTGATCATAGTGATGAGGACATATTAAAAGTAAGCGTAAAGGAACACACATATGCCACTATAGTCAATCTACGGACACAACCAATAGCCCTTGCCAATTTTTCCATGCCAAACACAAGACTAACAATTCATGAAAGAAAAGATAATCTTGCAGAAATGAGACTCCCAATGAGGCCCTAGTGCTTCCACAGTTATCTTATTTCATTTATAAAGGAAGCCAAACTTCTATATCAAAATTAAAACAAAGAACATATTGGTTCTTTGTTGTTTACAATTTTAACAAAGTTGGTAGCCTCTGTGGCCCACTTCGCCATTCAATTTTTTACTTGCACGGACTGCATATGCACCCCTCTTGTCAAAATCATCAGAAGTTTGCAATTGATAGGTTTTGCTCCGTTTTTTTTTTTTCAATTACCCTGAATCTTGACAAGTTTGGTCGCCTACCATTACTCGGTTATAAAATCATTAACGGTTCCAGGACAGCGCTCGAGACGTAGACTTAAATTGAGAAATATTTTGATTACCAAATCAAACCAAGCCTTAAGTCCCATCAAATGGGGTCGACTACATAAATCATTTTTCTCCACTCGACTCTGTGTAAGGCCATTTCGTTAGTCAAATTAAAGAGATTCATATTTCTATTTACTACACTAGTTCACGTCAATCTAGGTCTACCCTTCCCCTAACACTACCATCTACCGTCACTGTATCGCATCTCTTCACTACTGTCTCTATTGGTCTCCGTTGTATATAACCAAACCATCTTAATTTATTATCTCACAACTTACTTTCTATCGGTCCTACTACCCATTCTTGAATATACTCATTCCTAACTCTGTATTTTCTAATCTTGCCACACATCCACCTTAGCATCCTCATCTTAGCAACACTCATCTTCTCTACATGTTGTTTCTTAGTTGCCCAACATTCCATCCCATGCAACATTGTTGGTCTAATAATCGTTCTATAGCTTCCCTTTTAGTTTAATGGATACTCGTTTATCACACAATACTCCAAATGCACTCCTCCACTTAGGCCACCCCGCCTTAATTCTGTGAACCACATCCGCTGTCATTGTGATAATCAATCCTAAATAACAAAAATGTTCACTCTTAGGTAGTTCTTGATTCTCAATCTTCACTTCTCCTCTGTTCCCATTGTGACTGTGTTACTAAAATCAGAAATATTTTGATTGTTGAGATTTATTTATTACAACAGAGATTGAAGCAAAGATTTGGACAATGCCAGCGAAACAGTTTCTCAAATCATGAAACCACAGCTGATATTGAACCAAAGAATCCACTGATCCCAGTGAGGAAGCAAAAGAGTGAAGTGAAGACAATTTCACATTATTTTACCACAAGAACAGTTGATTTTTCAAATAGTATTGGCATGACATAAATTGAAGTTAGCTTGAACTAGTCTCTGAAAGCACATAACTTGCTGAAATGGAAGGAGAAAAGACAGGCCGATTGGTTTGCTCTTCGTAGCCCTCTTTTTCTTTTTTCTTTTTTGAAGTGGAAAGATTGAAACCTAGGTGGACAACACATTTGCATGTTCATTTCCAAAACCATCTCAGAATCTCTGACAACACACCGTATTGTGGAAATATCAGCACAGACCATGCTGAAATGGGGGGTGGGGAAGCTGATTGGAAGAATTTTTTTATTTTTTATTTATTTATTTTAATTTTTAACTGCACATATTGAAACCAACATGGCCAACACATTTGCAAGTTCATTTCCAATGACTTCTCAGAATCTAACGCACCCTACTGCGGAAATATCATAAGTTAATTGTCATAATTGTTTCTAGAGTTAGTTTGAAATGACAAATTCATGATAAAATTTTGCCATTTTCATATAATAGTTCTAAATATGCATTTCGTAAATGAAACCATATTCCCAACTCCACTAAAACTAGAATGTAAAAATATAACTGGAGTTAGTACCACCTTCGTATCGGAGCTGAAAGAACTTGTAATTCGTGACAGAGCATCCAACATTACAGGAGATCCAGCTCCCTGTGCTGAATCAGATCCAATCTCCTCATGATCAAACAAGGCAACCATCTTTACCCCAGCCTCATCCTCAAGACAACTCTCAGAAGACGTAGCATCTATCAACGCCTGAAAGTTGTGTCCACAAATGAATAGATTAGAATAAAATGTTGTTCTTCAAAAAAAATAAAATAATAACTCCTACCTTTAAAGAGCAAAATGAACTGCAGAGATTATCAAGTCTTCCTGAGAAAATAAATTCTTTTGTGGCACCGGCAATTATACTTGGTTGTGTATCGCATGCTTGCAACTCAAAGTCACATATGTCATTTGGTTCACAATCAACCTGAGCTGCAAGAAGCTGGAAGAAAGCAAAAAAGGAACTCAAGAATCACAACCACAAGATACCCATCTCTAATGACCAAGCTGAGATTCAAAATCTCTAACAAAAATTTTCAGCACAAACATTAGAAAGTAAAATCAAACAAGGAAAAAGCCCACAAGAAGCATTGAGCCACATAGTCTACCTGCAAAAGAAGAGAATGATGCTTTTTGTTGTCAGTGCTCAACTTTTCAGTGGACTTCTTTCCATCAGTTGAATCTCCACTTTCAACAGGACCATTCTCAGAAACCACTTTATTAAGCTCTGCCTGTCCAAAGTACATCAGTTTCAGTTAAGTGGATTGCATCTCTCTCTCTCTCTCTCTCTCTCTCTCTTTTTAAATTGAGCACTCAGCCTTTGTGATGCTTCCATTAATCAATATTGCATTGGCCCCATCAAATGAAGCCCTTGTCACTTCACAAAAATTACACAACATGATTTCAACTACTGCGTTAGATGGTCAATTTAATAACATATTCTGGAATAAGTTTGATGAGGTGCCTTTTGCTGTTGACAATACAAAAAAAAATTGACCCTTGTTTGAATAATTTTTAAATTGTTGGCATGATAACACTTTGAGTACCAAAATTAGAAAAAGCATTTCTAACTTTTAATCTATTTGAGATTCAAGCTTAGTGATAGGCATAAATCAGCACTGTTGAGCAAAATATGTATTATAAGGTTAGAGCATTTGTTCTTGAACCAGGCTAATGCCCAACAATAATTCTTGTCAGAAATCCTGTTAAGCCAAATTGCCAGTCAAAGACTACCATAAGGGGCCACCATTGGCTTTTAAAGAAGCATAAGCAAATCAAATTGTAAAACTGGCAACTAATTGAACTCCAGTCTCTTGTTGTGAGGTGAACAAAAAAATAAAAAGATCTAGCTTATTTGCTCACGAAAGTTGTCCTGATCCCATACTAGCTAAGCGGAACACATGATACTTGAACTCAGGCCAATATTAAATTTGATCCTAATCACTTTGTATTTGATATATTTTAATATTAGTTCCACTGTTAGTTCAAGAATTCACTGGACAAGTTTAAACTCAAATTTCCACTTCTTCATCTTTTTAAAGGAGCTATAAAAAGAATAAATGTGGTTAACATACACTACTTACCATATTTAGTTATGTGAGTAAGAATTTTTAAAATCATAAAGTACAAACTTAACTTGTTGATTCCAAAATTACCTTGATTGACGTAGCCAAGACTGGAAGAAGATGACTCTGTGTGTTCACCTTAAATCCATCATTAACACCCCTGTTCAATATATTGCAAGAAAGATATGTCATAAGCGAGTAGCAACTGCTGTAGAATTCCCACAAACCAAATCACACATCAAACAACAAATGTAGGACTTACTATTATAGTAAGAGTGTACCTGTCCAAGTGGATTGCCAAGGTTGGGATCCGCATTATGGGCTCATCAATCCTAACTAGCCGATGCGAGTAGGAAACAGAACCATCTTTTCCTTCTCTCACTATCATCCTTCCAGCAACAGTTAAGTCACGATCAAACCATGTGTGCCATAAACCACCTCCATATGTTTGGACACCAACTTCCAAAAACCCACCTTTTGATACCTGAACCCGTCAAGATAAACTCAAAGACTGAATTTTGCCCACAAAGGTTTGCATTTTTTCAACTACACAATATGCCTCAAAGCATAGTATCAAAAACACAAAGGCAGTATTACCTTTGAAACAGGCTTCAATTTCAAACAAGGACTGTCAGTATGAGCACCGATTATATGGAATCCGTTTCCAGCAACATATCTGAAGAAGAATCCAACAATGGCAGCCAATACACAATAACCCAATAAGGTATTGAAATTCATATAAAGGCTTGGTTATGTTGTTCGTAAAATGTGGTAAAATGAAGGAAATCATATTTTTAAATCAAGTATCATTGGACACCTGAAACCAGAACTCCATTCAACTAGGCCCAATACACAAGACTTAAAATTCCATTTTCGTTTGTTTTCTTCAAATTTCTCAGACCACGTAGAAGATTAAGGCTAACACATACTTTTTACCAATTGCAAAAGCAACAATCGTAGAGTAGTTCCTTGTGAAGAAATACTTCTTTCCCGCTTGTAAACTCCAATCCTCTCTCTCTGAAACTTGCTCATATCCGGCACTGCTCAGTCGCTTCTTCACTTCATCTAAAAAGATTATTAAACAGAGCAAATAAACATCTACAGACTAATATTTCAATCAAAACAAAACCACATCCCTCCACAATTCCATTTGCTTAGTGCTGCAAACAGATGAAAAATAGTTTCAAACTCTTCTAAGTCAATCAAATACAACTGTTTTCTCAACATCAAAACTATATAAATTCGCAAGTTACTAGTTATATTTATTTGATTTTCCTCTTTACTTTTTCTCAGCAACCAAACAGAACTCAACGGTGATAGAAAAAAATAGGCCGAGTCTGAGAGAAACAGATGGAATAAACAGTTCCAAACTCTGCTCAAGCCAGCCAAAAAAAAAAATTGTCAATCTTGGGAGGAGGAGAACTGTTTTCTCAAGTTCAAAATCACATGAATTCGTAAATTTTTATAGATTTGTTTTGATTTTTCTCTTGCGTTTTCTGAGCAACCAAACAGAAGTGAACGATGATGATGATGAAGAGAGAAAAACGATTACCGACGGCGTGAAAAGCCGTGGGAGAAGCGTTCAAGAAGGAGACTAGATCGGCGGCGACCGAGCTTCCTTGGCTCTGTTCCAGTTTCGCCATTGGAGGAGCTGTGATCGAGTGAGTCTCACTGTTAATTGGGTCCTCTCCTCTTCTCTCCGTGAATGCGTGAGATTTACAGCGCTTTGATTTTGATGAGATTGTTGCCCAATCTAGAATTTATTCTTCACTTTCACGATGTATGTACGGCTCTGATGATTCTCTAAAAATCCTTCCGGACCTCATTCATTTATGTATTTTATTTACAAGGAGACCCGTAAGCTATTGGACAAATATCAAATTAATTTCTTAAATTATAAAAATATATAAATAAATTTCATAAATGATTAAAAAGTATTATTTTGTCCCTTAAATTATAAAATTATACAAATTGGTTCTATAAATTATGAAAATGTACAAATTAGATTCAGAAGGGATCAAAGTGGCACTTCACAATAATTTAAAGATCTATTTATATATTTTTATAATTTAAGGAATAAAGTGATACATCTTAATACTTTAAAAAAATCTATTTGTATGTTCTTATAATTTATAGATTAAAATGATATTTCTTAATAGTTTAAAAAATCTTCATGTAAATACCTTTTTTTTTATTTTTCTTTTTAGTTCAATTTTTTTTTTCTAAAACTTATTTTTCATGTTTACTTTCTATTTTTTTTTAGAAAAAAAAAAAAAAAAAACCCATGCCCATGCTATACATGTTTTAAAAAGCAAGTGAAAGAGATAATCAACGAGAAGTGAATGTTGACAATCAAACATAATTGCCAATCACCAAAGGTGGTGATAAGAGATTGTTGCTGGTTGCCGCCAATGGTTATTTGTATTGCACCAGTTTTGTAAAAATCAAATATCACCTAATAATTCATTGTAAGAAATTTAAGCCCTAAGATAATTTCTATTTGTTATTTTTTTTTGAGCAGATCATATTGCACATGAATCAGTTTCATCCAGTTTAAGCAAGCACTCCAGTCTTCACCAATTAGTTGTAAACTGCTTCTTGATAAATAGAATGAATACAACATGTATCAAATTTGGAACAATAAAAGTGCTTTCCTAAGCAAATGCACAAATCCAATAGTTGAGACCACAATAATACAAAAACATTCATACAAGCCTTGATGCACCAACCTATTGAATTTTCAAGGGCATGGTTCACTATGTCATATTTGAACTGTAAACACCACGTAAATATCCAAATAAATAATATTAGATTGAGAAACTTCTCCAAAATTGCCATTCTTTTTCCAACAAGTACATGGCATACAGCGCTTGAATCAACCCTCCTCAGCTGGTATGCATTTCACGGTCAACATTCTTCGGGCTAGGGCTTTAGGGTTTGAATCAACCTGCCTTCTAAGCTGGTATGCATTTCCTGTAGATTTAAAGCACATCGACATCCTTGACTTCTAGATTTTTGCTTCTTTTCTTGGATTTTAGCTTCTTGCTTGCTTTGTGTCCTTTAGATGCCTTTTTCCGTTTCACAGGCAATGATTCTTCCTCTTCCTCATCCTCGTCTACTGTATCATGTACATCGTGTGCCTTGCTTGGAAGTAGAACTTCTGCAGAGGCAGCTAGTTCTGTTTGAGGGGGGGAAAAAAGGATGTGAGAATGTCAGCTAGGGAAACTTTTGTGAAAACATCCCACCAAAAAGTTATTTTTCAAATTTTCAAAACTATTTCCCTATAAAAGTGAGAACATATGAAAGCAATGGCTGTTTTTTTTTATTTTATTTTTTTTTTTTTTTTTTGCGTTGTTTTGTTTCCATAAACATGAAATATGAAAACGGAAACGAAAACACAATCAAACAAGTCCACTATTTCTTAACTAATCTCTAAAAATATATAAATACATATTATTCACTTAACACACATCTTAACTACTTCATTGGAGTGTTCACTCTCTAAATTAAAAAGTACTTAACACACAAATTTCGGTTATACTTTTATCACTTTTTTGTCAATTGACATACACTATAATACACAATTTTAATCATCTCACCGTGAATGCTCTAATGAATGAAGAATCCTTTCAGGGTAACTCAAAATAACATGATTTCGTTTTTCCACTAAAATAATTTAGGTGATGACTCTAACTATTGCAATGACCCCATTTACGTTCTCTAATAAGACTATTTGGTTGGAGGATTTGACGAGAGAAATGAAAAGGGAAAATGAAATGTAATCCCACTATTTGTTTGGTTATAATGAAAAGAAACTGAGAGAGAAATGCAATCCCACCTTTTATTTTTGAATTCACTTAGGCTCTTTTCTTTTTATATTTCCCAACTCAATCAAACATAGCTTGGAATTCAAATCCTATCAATTCTTTCTCCTTTTCTTTCTATTTCTATTTCCCTTTCCCTTTCCATTTCCCTCATCAAATCTTCCAATCAAATCTTCCAACCAAACACAGCCTAAAGGTTTTGTAAAATGCATCCCTTTTCATATTTTTGTGGATGACATCATTTTAATAATAACTCTTAATGGAGGATATGGCAGTGTATAGAGATAGAGCCAACAGGGAAGATGGGTCCATGTACCTGATTGAAAGTGGTCAGGGCTTGGGCATGTTAAGTTGAGGTGTGTTGAGTACCAACTTTTAAAATAATCATCACCGTCGTACGGAGAACAGATTTTAAAAGTTTATCTCATGAGATTTAACATAGGAACACATTTGGGAAAACTGAACAAAATTCTACAGACAAGGCGATCATCATTTAGCTCTGTGGCAGCTTGGCAATCATCAACACAAGGTTGAATCAGAAGATCAAGAATTCTGACTACAATGCAATTCTACTGCAAGAAAATAACCTAGCTAATGCGACTCTTACTGAAAATTGAATGAAACCTTTAATCTTCAATCTCACAAACTAACCCCTAATCCAATTTTTTTTAACACCAGTATCTCTACATAACATGCACCTTCATGGCTGAAGCCCCAGGCAGAAAATCCTTCGCCTTACTAACCATAGTGATTTAAAGAGAACTAACAGAAGAAATTAAGGGTTGCTTTGGGAAGTGGCTATTTTAGTTGGCTTTTAGTTTTTTATCAAAATATGTGTAGAAAAGTAGAGAAAAGAGTTGACTTTTAGTAATGACTTTTTAGCTTTTTAAGATGCAACAAAGAAACACTGACCTTCACCGCTAAAATTAGAATCAAAAACAACATTTGTAAGATGCTGCTTCAAGAAAACCTGCATACAATTCAAATTTGTAGACAATCAACAATTTTTGAAAGGCATGAACTCAGAAAAGTAGTAACAGCAAGGTGCTTGGGGGAAAAGTCAAGTTCCAACAAAACAATTAGTACCAAAAAAAATATTTTTTTAAAAAAAATCCAAAAGAAACAATCTAGGCAAATACACAATTATAACAATTAGAGACTCAGTTTTCAATAACAATAACAAAAGTCTGATAACATACCGCAGAAAGAAGTTGCCGTGACTCAACATCCCATAAGCGCAAATAGCTATCTAGTCCTAGAGAAAAAGTCAAGTTCTCACTTCAGTGGTTGCAGGAGCAAATTAGCATCTTAAAATAAAATACACACACATAAAATGCATCTAACCTAAAAGAGGGAGACAAAATGTTCAATCATTGGAATCATACAAAATAAGATGTTGATTTTCAATCAAAAATTAAGGCTAAGTTTGGCATAACTTAAATAATACAAAAAGTTAAAAAGTCACTATCCTATTTAAGTCCCATCATCTTATTTAAATCACATCATCTTTCTAACACATCACATCAAACCCAACCCATATAAGCCAATAAGTCAAAAAGTGCACTTTTTTAAAACATCCCAAACCAACCCTAAATATAAAGAAGTAACTTGGAAAAAAATTGTAGTAAAAAGGGTCAGATTTATATGTAACAAACATGAGTTTTCAATTCTAGCTTCAGTCATACTGACCAACTTGCCATTCAGCATGAAAAGAGCACCAATACAAAAAAATACTAACCAGTCTAGTAATCTTCAAAAAACAAGAATAGAACACAAAGTATTTCAGTTGTGATTTTAGAAATCCCAAACATTTACTCACCGCATGAGGCTAACACTGGGAGCTCTGGGTGCCTGGCAATGGACCTTATACTTCCAGAACATTTCCCCAAAAAGCAACCTAAAAGTTTCCCTGTAATACTCAGAAAAGAGTTGCTTAGTCGTTGTCACAAATCAAAATCGTCTCCTGGGAGACATGGCAAGCATTTCACACCACCCAAAATATTCAATCAATCAAAACAAGCTTGAGTGATACAAAGAGACCATAGCTGTTGTAAGAACATTATACATGTCAAATATGGAGTGCAATGAAAAATGTAAAGCAAAAACTTAAAATCAAAATTAAAAATTTTAATCAGCTACCAAGCTTACAAATACAACTTACAAGATTGGTTGCAATAGAAATCATTCAGACACATTTCCATACAAAAGAGAACTAGTTCTGTATTATTGAGGACCAATAATAGACCATGACTATGGTCCAATATCCAAAAACCAAAATAGTAAAAGGATGGACTCGTTTGGGAACAAATTATTTTAGTAACTTTTTGGCTTTTTACGAAAAGATGTGCAGAAAAGTAGAGAGAGTAATGTGACAACTTATAGTAACTTTTTGACTTTTTAGCTAAAATGTTAGTCCCCAAACGAGGCCGCATCATCCTCTCATCTTGCTCAACACGACATAAATTTATACATACCCAACAACATCAATTTTGAGATTTCAATTCATTATCTATGGCCATCAGTTATCAGCCAGCCTGATGTCACTTGTTCATTTAAACAATGGCAAATCTGCCACATCCCCAATTTAAGGGGAGCTTCTTAAAACAGTTGCAAAATCAAATAATTGAAACTGCATGTTCAAAAAATGAATGTACCTGTACGCAGGTCAACAGAAGCAAGGTCGCCAGACCCATTTCCAATATATATGGTATTACCATCTAGATCTTCAGCTACCGCTTTAATTGGGGACTCCCGAAAATCAAATGATAGAACAGGTCTTCTCTGAGCAGAAATATCATAGAGGCGCACCTGTTCAAGATAATCAAGAGAAAAAGTTGCCAAGTCAGTAAGAAAAACTTCCCTGATGTAGCCAAAGTTCCTTTGATTCCTCTGTTCTTTGTCAGGCTAAATAACATATGTTTTATGTTAACAAACTAACTCAATAAACAACAAACTGATGGTCTGACACTCTCTTACCACACTACGAACAAGGAAATTTTCCAAGAGATCAATAAAATTGCTCTATCCCTCCTTCCCTCCCTCCCTCTCTATATATATTGACATATGTATCTTTTAAAGTATCCATCACCTGTGATTATTTCATCTTCACTGAAGTTAAACACAAGAGAAATCCAGATCGAGCACCACTGGCTAAATGTACATTAAGAATGTCTCGTGGAATATTCCTACAAGCCAATACAGTCATCTCCAGAGACCAATACAATTTCATAAAGCACATTTGTTCATTAGTTTTTGGACAAAGGATCAATCCAGTTCCAACATCTATCAACAATTAAATTGTGCATAAAAATGTAATGCCCACAATTTTTTTTAATGAAGATATTAAGGATATTATCAGGAACCATATCTAACATGTTAATAAACTGTCAACATCATTGTCAATTATTTAGGGGCATATATACATGTATCTGTGCCAATCTAGGTGATACAAAGTTTGCACATCATAGAACATCAGTTCATGCAAGTATAATATGAAAATTTCTCTGGTGGGATGACAGCCATTTAAGTAAAGATCAGCCAACAAGAAGCAAGCAAGTACAACTGAGGAAAAACCAAATTTCAAACTGATTGTCAATGGATAAACAGTGAATTTTTACTTTATAGGTTGGCAGATTGCCAACACAAAGTACGTTCTCAAGACACCATTGAAATTTAGGAGATAAACGTAAAATAGGAATTTTGGTGAAATGTTACCTGATGGCTGTTGGTGCCAGCCGCGAATTTACGGTGATCTTGCTTGCTTAAAAATGTTGCACATGTAAACCATGATGGAGTGAATATACCAAGACTGTTTTTAGCAGGCTGCACAAAATCATATATAATAAATAAAATCCCTGGCCTCGTGTTTCATAAAACATTAATAACCTAACAATTTACATTTTGGAACACACATTTCAAAACAGAAACATGTTACACTTTCATTCCAAAATGGTAAATTTAGCAATCCAAATATTTATTACCTCAGGAGGATAAAAAATAAAAAAATGAAAAAAGTCAAATGTAATGAATTAAGATCTAAAGAAAGTGGGGGTTTGGGAAGACAAAATGTTTATACATAAATAAATAAATAAAAAGAGAAGCCTCAATGCTCTTAGAAATGTGTTTTTATTAGATTAATTTGAAAATTAACATGATACATTTTATTAGATATCTAATTGTTGAAAGAAAATTGCTCACATTTAGAAATACCTTAAAATTTTATTAGTGTGATACATACAAGTGTTGTTCCTATTCCTCATATCGGAACAAACTGTGTTCCAGCCTCCAGGTAACATACCCTCAGCCAATTGCTTGAGGATTATAAATATTTGTTCATCACAATAACATTAGAGAATAGAATAAAAGAGCTCACAGATTTTGCATTCCAGATTTTAGTGCATGTGTCAAGATCCCACACATTAACTTCAACTCCCTTCCTGAATTGGAAAAACAAGAAAATTATCATCCCTCATGTCATTTATAAAACCACTAGCAAGCATGTGTTAAACAGCCACGAGACATAGAAACTCACCCTCCAAATAAAGCATGGTTTTCGTTGCCATCCACTTTTGAACATAAAATATTCCCAGTAGCACATATGTTCCATGCTGTTGGAGGAACACTAGAGATAGAATCCTGTGGCGATTTGGGAATCTCAACAGACCTCATGCTTGCATGTCCTTTCGTTGTGCATGTAAGTAAGGTGCATGACCTAATTCAAGACATGAGGATGGATAAGAAGATACCAACAACAATCAACATGAATTGTGCTACATTATAGTGGATGAAGATATACCTATCCAAATTACAGCAAATTACTTAAAATGCATGATAAGATAGCACAAAGGAGAGATTCCTTGTATATGAAACCCACTAGCAAGTGGTCCAATGGGTACAAAGATCTTGTAGCCTGATAATAAGAAATAAGTACAAGAAACAGAATGGATATTTTGCAGCCTCATTTAATCTAAACTACAGTAAACATACAATCACATGTAAAACATTCAGTAAAAAGAAAAACTTAAATCCAAAATGCCCTTTTTATGTATGATTTCATGCGTTCATAGCAGTGTTGGTGAAGCATTAGGTACACTTAAAGGCAAAGGCCTCCTGGAGCCTAGGCACAAGGGCAACCGTGCCTGACTGAAATAAAGAATACATTTTTCAAAAAATAATGCATAACAAGAAAGGATTCATAATATATAATTAAAAAAAAAGTTTAAAACATCAAATAAAACTATATTTATCCTTTTAACTAAAATGATTGGAGTTTCATGCAATTGTAAAAAGGTTGTATGTGACGAGTTGAATCAAATTGAATTTATACTTTAATCTCAGTTGGGGATTTATATTAAATTATTAAACTCCATTCATTTTAGACCTAATTGATTGAATTGTGACCCGTTAGTAATCATGAAATATTGTTGTAGTTTTATTATTATTATTTCATTACCATAAAAGAGTTGTGAATATTTATGGTGTGTACCATTAAACGAAATATATTTTGTGGTGAGAAAATATTATATTTACTTTTGTCATTAAAGATGTTGAAATATATTTTTAAATTGATATATATATATATAGGTGTATATATATATATGGTTAGATATTTGTTTATAATATATATATAAAAAAGTGACCAAATAGGATATTTTGTTCAACTTTGAGTTCTTGCCGTGAGGAGAAAAAGAGAAAAAGGGTTCCAACGTTGGTTTTTCATGGGTTTGATCTAGTGTAAGTCATTTTTGCCCCCTAGTGCTTTGGATCAAAATGTAGAGGGCGGAAAAGGCATCGTTTGGCTCCGAGCAGATTTAATTTCTGTTGCCAAAAATTTTGAAAGCTTCTTGGCTTGAGGTAGGGATTTTTCCTACACTTCTTTATGCACTTTTACTTAATCATATGGAGCTTAGAGTTGTATATAATTTAATTAGAATTTTTGAAAAATTTGTGATTTATTTCTTAAAAAGAGAAATTTTGAGAAAAATAAAGAGTTGATACCCAAATTGCAAAAGTTTAAACTTGGAATATGTTGGTAAGGTTATGAAAGAGCTATGTTTTAAATTTGAACAAAAACAGACTTCGACTCGATCGGTTTTGAAATTTTACCGGTTTGCGACCAAAAGAGCATTTTTAAAGAAAATAAAGGAATTATGTTTAACTTTTGGGGCTTTTGATCAAAATAGGATATCATAGTTGAATAATGCTTGGAGAATGAGTTTGGAAAGAAAATGATATTTTCTTGCGCATTAACGGTATTATTTTGCTTAATGTATCTGTTAGTATAAAACCAACACGGTTTGAAATGGACCTTGAGCGGTTACCGGACGTGATTGTAATATGAAAACTAGTGTAGTTATTCATATTTGATGAGATGCAAAATAGATTGTATTTATCGAAATTTTTGGAATTTAATTGTTTAAATATCTGTTTAGAAATATCTGTTTTGGGCTATCGGTGGAAGATAGCCATGATTGTTGTAGAAATGCATGAGGCTTGGGTAAATTGAACTGCATTCCTCATTTGTTGCATTGGACATTGTATTACATTCATTTCATTGGAAATATATCTGTTTTTGAGAAATGTTTGAAAATGTATCTGTTTGCGAAAAGATGAATACTTGGTGAATCCAAGGGGGTGTAGAACCGCGCGGTTAGGCGTCAAGCCTTCCAGTTTACTGGTAAAAATGACAGTGGTAGTGCATTAGGGCCTACTTGCAGACACTCACCTAGAGATTCGCAGAGCCTGTATTCATGTAACAGATATGGTTTAAAATGGAAATGATTTTATATCTGTTGTTGCATCTCAGCACTGCATGCTTTATAAAAAGAGAGATAAACTGTTTTATCATGAGCATACGATGTCATAGTTGAATAATGCTTGGAGAATGAGTTTGGAAAGAAAATGATATTTTCTTGGGTATTAACGGTATTATTTTGCTTAATGTATCTGTTGGAATAAAACCGACACGGTTAGAAATGGACCTTGAGAGGTTACCGAACGTGATTGTGATATGAAAACTAGTGTAGTTGTTCATATTTGATGAGATGCGGAATAGATTGTATTTATCGAAATTTTTGGAATTTAATTGTTTAAATATCTGTTTAGAAATATCTGTTTTGGGCTATCGGTGGAAGATAGCCATGATTGTTGTAGAAATGCATGAGGCTTGGGTAAATTGAACTGCATTCCTCATTTGTTGCATTGGACATTGTATTACATTCATTTCATTGGAAATATATCTGTTTTTGAGAAATGTTTGGAAATGTATCTGTTTGCGAAAAGATGAACACTTGGTGAATCTGGGTAGGGGGTGCAGAACCGCGTGGTTAGGTGTCGAGCCTCCCAGTTTACTGGTAAAAATGACAGTGGTAGTGCATTAGGGCCCACTTGCAGACACTCACCTAGAGATTCACAGAGCTTGTATTCATGTAACAGATATGGTTTAAAATGACAATGGTTTCATATCGGTTGTTGCATCTCAGCATTGCATGCTTTATAGAAAGAGAGATAAATTGTTTTATCATGAGCATGGCATGAGCATACTCCTCTTTAGTCTTGTCATGATCCATATGTTATGTAGTATATCTCTACTGGGCTGTGACTCACCCTATAAGGGAAACCATTTCAGGTACAGGTGATATGCCTCCGCCAAGGCACTGACTTGGGAGGACTCAGAGTTGAGGCTCCATTTTTGTTTTATGGTTATTTATTGAATATAAGCCCAAGACTGTATTTGTGTTGAGTTGAAATTCCATTTTGTGTAACCAAGAATGTTCTTGGATAAATTTGAAAGCCTGTAGGGCACTTATTATCTATTTGGCTTCCATTTCATACTTGTTGTAAAATGCATGCTTGGGATTGGAACTGGGGCATTGAAATGTGAACAACATGTATTTGGCATTTGGAATTTAATGGTAATGGATGTATAGAATAGTTAGCTATATATATGTGTTTGTCTATCCGGTGGGTTTTGTTGCATAAATAGATATATCCTTCCCAATTTTCAGGGCGTTACATTGTAGGTGCAACTTTAACATAGGCTTGTTCAATTTCTTAAATTTCTATGAATTAGATTTGAGAATAATTATTAATTATTAATGGATAACATGACAATCAAGTGACCATCTAATCATATAACATATTAAATAATTTCTCTTCATATAACAATCAAGTGACAATCAAGAGCCTATTCAATACTATTATATTTAAAGGTTAAAAAGTAATAAATTAATTTTTTTAAACATAAATTAAAAAAAAAAAACATAAGTTTCAGAAAAAATTTTTGTAATTGTGCTTTGCTTTAACTACTAAAAGCGCTTCTGTTGTTGCACTTTAGGTTAACACTAATTCATAGGGATAGGTCTTGACTCAAATGATTTAAGGAAAAAGAAAATGACAAAAGATTATGGTGTTAATGGCGTTAAGACTAACACAATCTGTTTTTAAAACATAATTGGGCTCAAATTGACAGATTATGGTGTCCTTGTTTAGTTTCATAAGCCATTCAAATTCAAATTTAGAAGCTCTTGTCCATGCAATTTACAGAAAATCCATAAAATCAAGCTCAGATCTATACCTGGATGATAACTCCAATCTCTGTTTTTTAAGCATATGCAAACCAACAATGGCATTATCCTCAGGCAGTAGATCATCAGAAGTAATATTGGTAATGGAAACACGAACATCTCCATTTAGAGGATTAATCACCTCAATCTGTGCAGAATATCAAGCATGTTAAAACAGGCACAGCTATCTCAAGCCAAGAATTGAAAACTCAGATGGGCTACAGATAATCATGATCCAGAGGAAGAACTCACCAAACCATTTTTCCTTGCAACAGCTAATAGCTGCAACAAATATAAGAAATAAAAAATGGTCAAATTTTCAATATATATAAGTTAACATATATCAACAGTTGTTTAGGAACCATGTACACCTCAAGAGGATAAATGATCCATGCAAAATGTTAAAGAGGGATTTCAATCTGAGACACAACAATTCTTATAGGCAGGGATGTGATTATAGAGGAAATTGAATAGATTTTTTTTCCTTATCAGCAAAATTCAAGAGACTTTTCCTCATTGAAAAACGACAAAGCTCTGTGGCTTGACAGGTTTAATGCACCATTTATAAGACAACTTGCCAAAGAACACGGGAAGAGCTACGACTTCTTTGATACAAATAAGCTTTTAGGAGAAATTAATGCCTACATCTATAACACTTGTACCGACCATGCAATGTCCAAATATGATGGAGCCTATCTCATGTTGCAATATTTTTTATAAGTGCTTTGCCAAAATCCTTGCTAAGAGAAACAAGATCAATCCCCAATGGAATCATTATTCAAATCTGATTTTGTTCCTGGATGAATTATTAATGATAACATTTTACTAACCCAAGAAGTAGTAATTAGCAAGGAACTTTCATAGGGACAATGGTCTGCCAAGATGTGCTATAAAAATAAATCTTAAGAAAGCATATGATACAATGTCATGGGATTGTGCTATAAAACTGCCACAGAAGTGTCAATTTTCTTCAAATGTAATGAGCTGGATCAAAATGTGTCACCAGTCGATGGCTTTCTTAGCAATTAATGGAGATTAACTACATATGTTAAGGGTGGAAGAGATCTACGGCAGCGTAATGCTATGTCTTATATTTGTTCGTCATGGTTATGGAGGTTCTCACAGCCTGTTCAGTCATACTTCAATTTCGATCCAGATGTGCAGCCATTAATCTTATACATGTATGTTTTGCTAATAACTTTTTCTTTTCTTTTTTATTTTTTGCCATGGGAATGCTAATTCAATGGCAACATTTAATGAAGTTTTTAAAGAGTTTGAGATCATCACGGGTTTGAAAAGAGCAGAAAAGCCTGATATTTTAGTTTGTTGTGATATGAAGCGGGAACATTTCTGATAAAATATTTGGGAGTTCCTCTAATAACACCAAACCTTTCACATGAGGACTGTAGGCATAAAACGGAACAAAACAAGTATTACACCTATCTTATCTAACAAAAAAATGGCCCTATGCTTCATGAAGATGACTCTAATGATGATTTCACTTGACATAATTGGATGGAAAATATGGGTGCTGCATGATAATGCACAAAATGTTTGTCAAAATTGAAAGGGAAAAAAAATATTGTCAAATTGAAAAGAAAAAAATGGCCAAGGATCCCATTTTCAGATAAAAATTTCCACAGAAAAGAAAAATCAGCCATAATTGAATTTAAATGTTAATTTAACTACAAGACATGGGATAGTTTATTAAGCTCCTTCCGTTTTGCGCTCCTGGGAAAACAAATTGTTACTAGACATCCAAAATTATTTCATCCCAGAGTAAATTTACACTCCAAAAAATTCTCTTTGGTTGTGTTCTCATTTTTTATTTTTTATTTTTTGTGTTTTCTGAAACAAAACAATGAAAATTCCAGAAACACCCATCGTGTCTACATTGTTCCCTTTCTTTTTTTTCTTTTCTTTTAAGAAAACTACTTTTGGTATTTCCTAAAAAGTCGTTTTTAAAAAATAAAAATTCTGAAAACCCTTTTCAAAAAAGGTTCACTAAACAAGTATTATGTGTTCTGGAAAATGAAACTAAAAAACAGAAAAATAAAAACACAACCAAACAGGCCCGAAGGTTTTCAAGTTACAAGTTAGAACGCTAGAAAACAACACAAAAACATAAGGAAGAAATGTGATAGAACAAGTTTTTAATTAAAAACATATAATAAGATCAAAAAAGGCAATAGCATTGAAAACACATGAATTAGCTGCAATGTTCAGTAACTGTTAACAAATTGCAGAACACACGTACAAATTGGATTCAAATTGGAACAAAAAATTGCAACATACAGGGTCCGATTTACAATCATCAACCAAACAAGCCTGAAGGTTTTCCAAGTCACAATAGTAGAAAGCAACGCAGAAACATAAGTTAAAAATGTGCTAGAACTGTAAAATGGTAAATAAATGGGTAAATTCCAAATACACCCCCTGAGGTTTTATTAAAATACGAATCGCCTCCTGTGGTTTTGAAAATTACATTCCACCCCCTGAGGTTTCTAATTTCATAACAAATTGTCCCTTTTATTAATAAATCATTAAGTCAATTAACAGTTTTTAATGATGTTAAAAATGTGTTTCAATTAATAATTTAGGTAATTTTATTATTGTATAGGAGAGTAATTATGAATTTTATTTTTTCAGTTAATTCTATTAAATAAAAATTTCTAATAAGGGGTATTTGTAATTTTCAAACCACAAAGGCTAATCTGTATTTTAAGCAAACCTCAAGGGGTATATTTGTAATTTATCCAAAATAAATTTTAATGGGCAAATTTCACTTTACCTCCCTTACGCTTTTTCCCATGTGCTAATCTACCCCATCTCATTTGAAAATAACCGCATATCCCCCTTATGGTTTGTGAACTGAAATGCACTGTTAAATATTCTGTACAACTTAACAAGTGTGAAACGTGTGCCAAACATAAAAGGTTATATGCTCATTTTCAAATTTGAAGAGCGTAAATTGCACATGAAATAAAGTACGGGAATTACAAAGCATTTTGCCTCCCAAACAAATGACGAAAATATCCGTAGTTCACATACTTAGATTAGTTATATAAATGGATATTTTAATCTTTTTCATTAAATCGTTATCAAGCCTAACAGTGCACTTCAATCTACAAAGGGTTATTCTATTCACATATCACAAGAAATCTCAGTACACAATTTTTGTTTTGTTCAGATATAAACTTTTGAACAAAAGGCAAATATTCGGACATAAACTGATGAACAAAAATAAATTGTTCAAATATATATTCCGTTTAACTGTTTATGTCTAAACAATTGCTTTTTGTTCACAAATTTATATCTAAATATTTGACTTTTGTTCCAAAATTTATATATTCAAACGATATAAATAGTGTGTACTAAGATTTTCTGTGATGTGTAACATAAGGGGGCTATGTGGTTATTTCCAAATGAGATAAGTAATCTGCACATAGGCCAAACCACAACGGGTAAAGTGAAATTTGCCCATGCCAATTTTAATTAAAAACATAGAGCAAAGCAGACCAAGAAACCGACTGTGGTTCAATAAGATGAAAAGCAATAAAATTGAAAGCACATGAATTAGCTGCAATGTTCGTTAACTGTTAACAAAATTGAAGAAGACAAGTATAAATTGGACTGAAATAAGAAGATGAATTTGAAACGTACAGGGTCAGATTTAGAGTCATCAATTGAAGCGGCAAGAACGCATCTCGATGAGTCAGGGTCCCCCCATCTCTCAACCACCTTCGCAACACCACCACCTTGCTTACTAGAAGTTTCAATAACTATAATCAAGAAAACCATGAGATTACTAACATACATACGTATATAGCCGCTGGTGTATATATATATAATGGAGTTGAATTGATTAGATATTCACCTTTAACAAGACCAAGCACATCGAAAGTTAGGGCTCGAAGAGAGGGGCAACCAGGGCACTCCAATGTCGTCGTACGTGGCATCTTCAATGGAGCGTATATAGGTAACTATATATGTATATATATATATATAGAGAGAGAGAGAGAGGGGTTCGCGCAGTTGCTGTTGATGAACAGACGAGATATGCAGAGAGAGTGAAAGAGAAAGGATGCGGCGGGAATGGAGTAACCAGGGTTCAAGCAATTTTTCAGAACCTAAATGTTAAAGGAAACTTGCCCCCTTACTGTGTTTGTGGTTATGTGTAAATGATAGGTGTTATACTTCTTAGGTTTTGATTAAAAAAATATATATTTAGGTTAGGTTTGTTAAAGTTGTTAGAAATTTTATAAATTTTTTTTGTCAAATATCTTATATGAATGTAGGATTTATATGATTTTTGTGTGGTTTTCACATCTATGTAAGATATTTGATAAAAAAATTTATAAAATTTTTTGAGTCTCTAGCATTACTCTAAGTTTGGCATGCTTATTTGGACTAAAATAGTCATATAGGATAAAATTAGCTATTTTAGCCAAATATAACAAAATATCATATCCAAACCATAATTATTTTATTTTTTCTTTCACAAAAGTCAAAAAAGTCAAAAAGTCTATCTCAAACGTTGAATTTATTTATACATGCCCTTTTTTTTAACAACAAAGATTCATCCCCTTTTCCTCTCACCCCTTTGATCCTCTCTCTCTCATTGGTTATATTTTTTTTTTTTTTTTTTTTTTTTTTCTACTCCTCCAATCACCACCTGTCACGTGACAAAGAGGTAAGGGGGTGATCCCCAAAAAAGGGTCCCAAGCATTATTCTTTGTGTAAGGGTTGGTTTGGGGTGTTCTAAAAAAGTGTACTTTTTGACTTATTGGCTTATATGGGTTGGGTTTGGGTTGGGTTTGATGTGATATGTTAGAGAGGTGATGTGATTTAAATAAGATGATATGACTTAAATAGGATAGTGACTTTTTGACTTTTTGTATTATTTAGGTTATGCCAAACTTGACCTAAATGATAGGTGTTATACTTCTTAGGTTTTGATTAAAAAAAATATATTTAGGTTAGGTTTGGTAAAGTTGTTAGAAATTTTATAAATTTTATAAATTTTTTTTGTCAAATATCTTATATGGATGTAAGATTTATATGATCTTGTGTGGTTTCCACATCTATGTAATATATTTGATAAAAAATTTTGTCAAATTTTTTAAGTCTCTAGCATTACTCTAAGTTTGGCATGCTTATTTGGACTAAAATAGTCATATAGGATAAAATTAGCTATTTTAGCCAAATATAACAAAATATCATATCCAAACCATAATTATTTTATTTTTTCTTTCACAAAAGTCAAAAAAGTCAAAAAGTCTATCTCAAACGAGACTTTTTAACCTCATGCTACAATAACCAAAAAGTCAATCCACATCCCAAACAAAAGCTAACTTTCATTTTGGATATAGTTCTCTTAATTTTAACAAAGGTCTGGTTTGTCTCCAATCTTAATTGGACTATACTGGTTTTTGTTGGCTCACCACAAAATTTAAATTGATGATTTGAATTATTTAATATGTAGAATTCGTCGAGTAATTTATTTCTATGAAAAATTATATTGATCGGATATCGATAACTATTTGATCAGTTCACATTTTTGTCAATGGTAAGGATGGTTTTTTTTATTATTATTATTATAAATTAACAAAAGTGTGATCTGATTAAATGGCTGTCGATGTCTGATAAAGGTAATTTTTTATAAGAATGAAGTATTCAACAAATTTTACACATTAAACTGTTCGGATTATTGAGACGAGCCCTAAATGGGCCTTAAATGGACCAAAATGGACGATCTAATTGGGCTACTGATTGGATACAATCCAGTCCCTTTTAAAAATTAGTTTGGTAAAAAAATAAGTTTTTTTTAGGGAGATGCACCATTAAATCCTAAATTCCAATCTTCTGATCCATTTAGTCATTCGTTTAATCTGATGAACCAATAGGTCCCATCCCAGTGTGAAAAACGTATTGCCCCATGTTTTATAACATAAATGAAGGGATAATTGTGGGTTTTGTTGATGTTGCATTTACATTTATGCCCAAATCTTTTGTAAGGGGAATTTTGGTTTCCCTCCAAACCAATCGTAACAGAAGAGACGTACTAGGGAAGTTCTGTTATGTTCCGATGTTAATGGGATTTTGATTGTTGTGTTAGTGATCTATTCACAGCAGGCAATGTTAATTTAGTGTGGATTTGTATTGTAAGTTGAACCTTCTTTTTGCTTCGTAAACCCTAGAGGCAGACGAAGCCCCTATTCTGGTGAAGTTCGAGCGACTGTGTCACTGTGTGTGTTCTGTGATGACAAAACAACATCAATTCGTCCTCACCGGTAATTGTGTCATCAACAAATGACGTCGAGTAAGTTGTTTCCTTATGTATGTGCACTCATGATGTTCTCCCTGGTGTTCATATTGATATGTGTTAGTGGTTGTATGTGTGTTGCAATTTGTTGAATTATGGTTATTGTTAATGTTGATGATGAGTGTTGGTGGTATGTTCAAGTTAATGTTGTTTGCATTTTTGGGGGGTTTTGATGCAATGTTTTTGAGAAATTGTGTTTTGATTTACAATGATTACTTGAAGTGTTGTTTTCTGTGTGGGCAGTTAAGTGTTTGTTAGGGTTCATGTACGATAATAGTTTACATTAGCTGCAGATGTGGAATGGTTTTTTACACTGAAGGGAGAATGAAATAATTCCTCTGTTGCTAAGCCCATCTCACTAACTAATCAATTTCATAAACAATTTTACCAATAGCTTAAAACCCACTTTAGTAACAAAGGATCAACTTCTTCTCTTGGAAGGCTTTACATTAGCTAAGAATGTGGGCCTTTACTGTCATTATAGTTAGATGGAGATGTGGATTGTTTTTTGGAATTGAAGGGAGAATGAAGTAGTTCCTCTGTTTGTGAGATTTATATTTACGTTATATGCGAATGCGTTGTGGTTTTTTGTCATTGTAGGTACAAGGGTACAATTCCTATGTTTGTGACGGGGTACATATTACATTATGTTAATTTGTATTGTAAATGTAAATTTTAGGGTAAGGGTGTAGTTCCTCTGCTTGTAGGTACAAGGGTAAAGGTCCTATGTTTGTGATGGGGTGTATATTACATTATGTTCCCTTATGTATGTACATCTATAATGTTACTAAACCGGAGTTACTAACAAACACGCAACGTAGACAATGTTAATATAAAATCAAAACTCATGTTACAACACAAACGTCAAACTTGTTAGACTGGTGGTATTTACGTTAAATGCCAACATGGTGTTTTTTTTCCATCTTAGGGACAAAGGGAATGTTCATCTATTTCTGATTGGGTGCACATTACAATAAGGTAATTCGTATTGTAAATGTCATTTGAATAGTAGGGAGGTTTAAATAAATGTTTCTGATGTGTAATGTTTCTAAACCCACGTTACTAACTACGTAAAAGAACAATAATTGTTAACACAAACTCAAAGCTGACTTGATTACACAGGCGTTAGAAGTTTGTGAAAGTGGGGCATTTACATTAGTTACCGGGTACCATGGTTGGGTGTGTCAGTTATCTATTCGTAGCAGATAATGTTGTGATTGGTTGGTAGTATGTGAGATGTCATTGGCTAGCACATGATGTGATGTTTGATGTTATGTACGTTATGTCGATGTGTTTGTACGATTGATGATGCATGTTTGTCAGTAACGTAATGTAATTTTGGTTTTTAGATGCATTTAGGTGTGACATTATGCTTAGTGAGGCACTGGGTCTTCTTGAATTTTGTAGTGATGGGTGTTTGAAACTATTGGTAGGTAGCATTGGCCAGTAAAGTGGGAAACGGAACGCTACTAGCAGCCCGCCATGTCATGGACAATCGGGCAACACGTCAACTAAGTTGGCCCCGATGAGGAAAACCAAACTGCCATTCAAGAAGCAAAAGGTGGACAGTGGTACTGTTAAACATTCTGAAATTGACTCTGCGAGACTAATGTACTGGTCTAACATTTCAAGAGTTATCAAGACCGTGCTTGAGTTGGAGTTGGGTGACAGGCATATTCAGCAATTTGAGAAAACACCGTTTTGGCCAATGGTTGACGCCATCCGAGTCCACAGACTAGATCTCAAAGCATATATGAAGTGTGATGCAACGGTATGTCAGATCGTTCAAACTTACCATCTGGGAGATGAGAAGTTTTACATTTGTGGGGTTGGGCTCCTCCTTAGGAACAACGATATCCATTTGATGTTTGGAATACAATGTGGTAAAGACAATTTGGACTTGGCCCAAAGTGTGAAAACTATGTCAAATTTTATGCAAAGACGTTGTCCAAACGTGGGTCGGATGTCTTCGAAAATCATTAAAGATTTACTGATACAGGCTATTTGTGGTCGTACAGAACGCGACAAAGAAGATATAGCCAAGCTACTTTGTCTTTATATCTGTGCGAAATTATTTTTCGCAACTACGAGCGAGCATATAGGGTGGGCATTTGTGCGCATCATTGACAAATTGGAAACATTACGGATGTATGACTGGACTGCAACAATCCGTAACACCTTGATAAGTTCGCTGAATGAAACGCACAGCAGGCCAGAGAGGGTTACAGGTTGTGTCGTGGCGTTATTGGTACGCATTGTAAACATACTACTGCATTGCATTCTTGCTCACATGCGCAAGTATATGTTTTTGTATGTGGTCGGCTAACGTGTGTGTGTCATTGTTATTGCAGTTCATTATTTGTGAGCATTCAGAAATTGTTAAGCCAGATCGCAGTAATGTGACGCCTCGCTTTTGCAGATAGAACCTTGGAACACTAATAGAGTGGTTAAAAGGGGTAAACTTGTCGGCAATAGGCTCTATTAAGGTATGTCACGAAACAAAAATTGTTTGTTTTTGGTGTTTGTAAGTTAATATTTATGTGTGCGACACTGTTAAAATTTTGCAAGTTAAGTACGATAAAATTGTTGAGACAAGTAATGAGTGTTACCTATTAAAACCGGCGCTGAATGGGATGGGGGCGACCAAAATGAGGGGATCGTATTTGATGTTTATCCGGTGACTGTGTGGGGTAAGGAAGAGGCTGATGTTGGTGTAGAAGATGTGGCTTTGTGGAGCCAAGTTTTGATTTTGGCAACCTAATTCGCCTAACGGTGGTAATGTCGATATGAGTAGATTAAGTGAAACTGATAACAGAAATATTAGGACATCGAATGGGAAGAAAAAAATGAG